GATGAAAACTGGACAAATTTGCAGGCATATATACATTAGATAAAATAAGATAAAAGAGGTCAATGATAGCAGCTATTTTCTCCTGACCAACTCCATCAAATATTGGAGTATGCAAAAGCGCAAATAAAAGATTAAATTTATATATTATCGATCGATAGTGTTGAGTACTGTTGAAGAAATGTTGCATAATAATAATTTTAATCTATTTGAGCAGATAAAATTCTTTTACAATTGCTTAGAAGTCAATTATAAACTTCTAAATAAATAGAATTGAAAGCAATTGTAATTGGAAGCCTCGGACATTTTTGCAAGATTTAAATAATGTGCTAACTCCGACTTAATTAAAAATGATACACTCGTTCCTTGATTGGGGACATATTTATATGCCCAATTACTACGAAATACCCATCGTTAACTTTAGTTTAAGAACATTCACTATTCTAATTGATATGTTTTAAATATCAAAAGTATAAATAGCGTAGTTCCCAATAACACTTAGATATTGTTCTTAAAATGATGAATTTCTTTTTTTTGTAACGAGTTTCTAAAAGAATTGCACGCGACGAAAAGACAGACAGTATAATCTTGCAACTAGCCAACTACAATATTGCTGTTTACATCCAAGTAATGTATGTACTTTTTCTTGTTGGTGATCTCACTCAGTATATGGTGGTGGGGTTGGGTAGAGATGAATAATAATCATCATAAAAGGAAAAAAAATAAAAATATTCCCTTCGTTCTGATTAAATTTAAATATTTTTGGTTTGTCTCATATCTCTTCTCGTAGCTTAAAAAGTTTTTCAATTTTAATTAAAATTTAAGATCATAAAATTGAGAAATCTCCCTTTATTTTTTAAAGTTCGTGTCGGAAAAAAAATGTATGAACAAGAAATCTAGGGTAGGGCTATTTTACATGATTCTGGTAATAGGAAAAAGGAATGAATAGATAGATAGACATGGGCACACATCTTAGCTTATGCAAAATCTTTGCAATCATGTGTCTTGGTTTGTTTCTTTTTTCTTTTCACAAAACATATACTTTACAACTTCAACAATGGACACACACATTACACATATATAGCTTACCAGTGAAGCAAGTGGTTCAGATTATATTTGGCATTGGACACGACACATAGCTTATCAGTTTGCAATTACAAAGTGCAATATTTTCAAAGTTAGCTAGGGTGTTTGCGAGATCAACTTAAGTCAATTTAAGATATTTAAATGTGTATTTTTTTTTAAAGTTGGGGTGTTTTGTTTTTAGTTGAAACTAAATTTAGATGTCTAGTTATGTATGTTGAATGTATTATTTATACAATGTTTCTGAATATAGAATGTGACATTCTTTCTAAGCAAACTAATAAGCTTGTGTTTGAATATATGATAATTTCAAATAAATTCAAATCATGATTTACAATTTCATATCATATGTCCAAACAAGTTTTAATAATTAAAATATATCGCACCAAATAAATTTGCAGGAACATGAGGAGTTAAAAGAAGTGATGTAGAGGCTATAAAATATGTCATGAAGAGGTAATAAAGAGTGAGGTAATTAAAGTAAAAGCGATAGTGATCAAAACCATGAAATCACATCATTGAAAAATAACAGCCTTGGGGCACTTTAATATGCTGAGAAGGACAAAAGAACATCGATCTAGTACCACCAAAGATGTGATACACGGGATGAAACAACTTCTTCTTTAAATAAAAATTTCATATTTGAATATCGAATATAGGTAAATTCTTGATAACTAACGCTTTCTTTTAAATGAAGCCCTACACAATATAAATTTAAAATAGTCAAATTTTAATACAAATATCGAACACTCGATAGGAAACAAAAACAACATCGATAAAGTGGGTGGTGGGGAAGACAAGACACTCAGTAGTAGTGTGTCATTATCTTATCATTTTCTATATAGAGTGGAACTCAGCTCCAGGAAAAAAGACAAAATTTGTCGACTTAAAGATACTCTTTCACTTTGCAATGATTTCACTGCGCACAAAAATAAAACAATTTTTTTTAACATTTGATTCAAATTTATGTACAGTACTAAATTCTACTTTAAAATAAGAGATTTTTTCCTTATTAAAGAAAAATCAAGTAGGTCTAATGAACAAATCATGTCCTTAAATTCAAAACTGAACTCAAGATAAGTAGTTTTTTTTTCTCTAAAATATATAGTAGAGTATTAAATATCAAGCAACAAGGTGGGAGTTACGGTATAGAGATATCTAAGGATGTGATTGACAATCAAGGATTGGAACCAAATCAAAACCATCCACTTTCTTCACCTCCTTTAGTTTCAAAATAAATAGGTAAAAAAGAAATTGTTCAAAAATAAATGTAATCTTAAAAATTTAAAATAAAAATAATAAATTTTAAGAAAACAATAACTAATTAATCTAGATAACTTAGCAACTATCTTCTCATCTTTTTTTAATAGACGTGAAATGAGGTAAAACGATTTTGGGAGAGAGGGAGTAGTGAATTTGGACCGATCACTTGGCAGATGTAATGCCGATGTTGGGGAGCTTTCCATTTCTGTCTATCACAGATATAGTGAATAGAGTACACGAATTCCATTACTCCTTGTCCATTCATTACGACTTAAGCGTAAGAGTGCGTGTCCGAGAAGCAGAGTCGGATCTAGAAGCTTAATTATGGGTTTATAGGAATTTAATAATTTTTATTCAAATTTATTTAAATATTTATAAATATTTGTCCATCAATTCAATTGTTATTATAATATTTATTTGAAATAACAATAAAAATTCATGAATATCAAATCTTGAATTTGCCTTTGGTCATATCTATCCATCTATATATATATATATATATATATTGCTATTGAAGTCGAAAACGAAAATGACATCGACTAATGACACATGAAGAATGTAAAGGCACACCGCACATCTATTGGTTTCTTGCTGCTTATAAATTTGGTTTTCAAGGATCACGCATTATAAAAGCAAAAAGATATATATAGAAATAGAAAGCTAAGTTGTTTCCTTCACAAGTATAGACAAGAGTTTGAATTCACCTGCTTAATGCATTTTTTTAGTAGGTCATTTCTCTCTTGAGTAGGTCTTAGTCTTGCTTTTTATTTATTTTTTCATTGTTCGATATCTATATTAAAGTCCGATCCGAATTCACACATTTAAGGTCTATTTTTGGCGGTGATGCTCCCCATAAATTTTTTTTTCATAGGACTCGAATTCGAAAAATCTTATTATGAACCATCATCTCAACAGAATTGATGTTGATCTTGGAAGTCTCGTATCAGTTTGATCATTTATATATTTCTTTTCATTTTATTCCGTGAAATTTTTTGACTTCGGACACTAGAGTTTTCTCTAGGCTCCAATATAATTTGACAAAAAAAACCCTTTGCATTACATAAATTTTACTTTTAGTCGTAGCAATAATTATGGACGTTAAACTTCACTTATGGAGACAGACTAGACTTCCATGTTAGGAAGGAGTTGGCAACCATTATGCAATGGAATGGATATGCAAATGCACAAAAAGAAGAGGAGAGAGATGCAAATGCAAAGGGTATGGCAGACCCGAGAAAGACGGAATTAATTGTGACCGCCTGCTGATTTGTGCAATTATTACTAGTACTACGTACGTTTGTTATATATGCTTGTAACTTTGTTCTCTTTGTTTGTCTTTTATCCTACAAATCAAGTGAGATCAAAAGGGTTCAAATTACACCTAAATTTTATTATTAGATATTACGAGAGTGTTCGTTGCAACTTAAGATTGGACATAGATTTTTGTCGATTATTTCTTTTGAGTGATTTTTTTTTACTTTCTCGTAACTTATGAACGTTTTAGATCCACGTTTGAAAATCTTTGGGCAAACCTAAAAAATTATGAAAAAACATTATAAGTTGGTCGAAAAATTTGTAGACATTAGAGATAGTTCAATATTTTATCAGTTTCAAGAACTATGTATTCTCAAAATTAGAAGTATGATTAAAATGTAAACGATGATAAATAGGGAAAATTGTATATAATAACAAACTATTAATTCAAATTAAATGCTATAAATATACTTTGATTTAATTGTACCATATAGCAAACTATTGCTATTTTCGCCACTCTCCCTGGTGGAATCTCGCTCGCCACTCTCGTTTGGTGGCAGTCTCGCTCGCCTCTTTCACTTTATACAAAAACGCAAATGTATAAAATGTGTTTGTGTTTGTATAAAGCGAGAGAAAATTGTACATATACATATATTTTCGTTCCCCTCTCCCAGATCTCGCTCGCCACTCTCCCAGATTTCGCTCGCTCACTCACCTCTCTCACTTTATACAAACAGAAATGAAATGTATAAATTGCACTTCTGTTTGTATAAAGTGAGAGAAAATTGTATATATACATATATTTTTGTTCCCCTCTCCCAGATCTCGCTCGACACTCTCCCAGATCTCGCTCGCCTCTCTCACTTTATACAAACAGAAACGAAATGTATAAATTATACTTCTGTTTGTATAAAAGCGAGAGAAAATTGTATATACACATGCAAATACATATATCTTCGTCCTATACACTTATAATTATATAATACAAATATTTTCATGCCCAATTTCTTTTTACCTTTCTCTCTTTCTCGTTTTATACATACACAGATTATATAATTGATCTTTTGTATACAACTGCTTTCTTTGTATATGTATAGCGAATTATACAACTGTTTTTTTGTATATGTATAGCGAATTATACATATATATGTTTGCTATGGAGCGCAGTTATGCAAACTTTGCTATAGCATACAAATATGAATTTTGTGTTTGCTATATGTGAAAGTTGCTCTAAAAAAATGATCATTTTCGTAAATCAGATTAGCTCGGATGGGCTGGAAAATCTTGGGCTCGCGGAAATTAGTTATGGGCCAATTGAGCCACACTACGGGTAAATTAGTCATGGTCCACTATAAAAGAAAACATACGGAGAGGAATTTGAAATTTTGAGATATCTTCTCAGAAAAAAAAAGAGATGGCGGGAAACGAATCACAGAAGCAATTCCTAACTCTTCTCCGCGAATTCGCATCTGAAAAATCTCAAGGAGGTTAGTATTTGCTCCTTCATTTCCTCCAAAAGAGTTCGTGTGAAATTTTTCACCGGATGATTCAACGGATGTAATAACTGGAAATTGATTTTGTAAGCTAATTGTTCGAAATTTCCAGAGCGAAGAATAGTAAATCACAAGAAGCGAAATCAACAGCTGCAATCAGAGCTTGAACTTGCATATGCGGAGGTCGAAGAGGCGAAGAATCAGAAGGAGAGTGCTGAGCAAGAGCTCAAAGGCTATGAAGTAGAATTGACCAGGAATGAGTCTGCAATTCAAACCCTAGAGGTTTTCGATTTCATTTGTATTTATATCCGCTTTTGTTTTCTTGGTTAATGCTTTGAGCTAATTGAAACATATCTAATTAGCTGAAATTTGAACTCCAGAAAAGCACTTGTTCTCGTTTATTTAAGAGATCCGTTTCAATTACGTTATAGGAAGGGATCCTTTGGATTCAAGATGAATTATCAGCGTATGGATCTAATGTTGAGTCTCTCAAGGTAAAAATCTACTTGAGATTTTGTTCTACTTTAAGGCGCATTTGATGCTCTGTTTTTCTGGTTATGATTGTTGAAGTTTTAACTTCTTAATGTTAGATCGATTGTACTTATTTATATTTGTAAATTTGAACATTATAGTATTGGCTTGCTAACAAGGCCACTGTTTCTTCTTATGAATTCACTGATCGATTGATGATATTTGAACCGTCAAAAGAATAAAGAAGCAGAAACTCGGTAATGACATGCTTCCTTCAGTTAACCTCTTAACTCTTTTTGGCCAATTACAAGCACTTAACTATGCAGAAAAGGAGTCTTTCTCTCCATTTAGTGTTCTGAAATAATCTGATTGCATTTCCTTTTCTCATTGTATCTATCATTGCTTATGCAGAGATGACTTCATAGAGAAAATGCTTGAGCTCAATGCACAGATAAGGTACAGGTTGTTTTTTACTATTGAAATCCACTGGATGAAGTCAGACTAATAAGGTAGAGTTCGTCAATATCTTTTTGAAAAAGTTAGAGATCATGTTTATAGCTCCAATCCTGTTGCTTTGTCAAACATACAACGGCTAAGTACAGACAGAGATATAAACCAGTCTCAGGTCAATCCATGTCCGTGCTGTGCCGATGTTTGAATAGCTAACTTAGTCACTGTTCTTTTTCTAATTTGCATTTACACATACCTGGACCTAGAAAACTTACTAATTTAGCATTACTTGGCTGCTGCAAAATCTTCTGGATTGCGTTTACACATACCGTGGCCTAAGTAACTAACTTTGCTTTACTCTAAAAAGGCTGATTCAGTCTGTAATACTTGAAGATTGAAGATCATCGACCAATATTTTTGTTTTATATGCTTATAATCTTTGATATGTCATGACTACTATGAACAAGAAATTGTGCTTGGGGAGTGATCATATCTGTCTAGCAACTAGTTATGAGAAAGGGAAACATTTTGACCTGATGATTTAGCATCTACAATTATACAATGATTATGTGTTTTTTCGTTTGCTTTTCAAACATAATTTGTTGCGATTGTATGGTTATCGCATGGTCACAAAAACAAATTTTTTTTTTATTGAGCTGCTAGTCCTCTAGCCCATATCGTATATCATTGTTCAGTACTTACTCAGAAACTACTGAACTACAAATACTATAAACTGGCTTTCATTCAGCGGTCTTATCGCTGAACTAGTACATATACCCTCCTTTGAGACTTGTGCACATTAGCTGTTCAACTAGCAAAGTCCAGACATGGAGTCCCAAAGACAGTAAATATTCTTCTTTACTGTGGTAGACTGGTAGTAATTCTAAACCTTGTTTCCTTAATTTGGCAGAAAAAATTGTTACTCTACTATTTAGTTCCAGTCTTATTAGAAAAGTTCTTTCCCTGAGGGCACTGGATATCTCCAATCTAGTAATCAAAGTGACACATTAGGTCGACCACATAAAATTTAGTGGCCAGATATAAACCTATCTATTCTCATTCTAACTCCGAGGCTCATTTCATTTTAATTTTGTGACTACACTATATCTAGATTTAGCTGCACTGCTGCTAAATGGTTGAACCTTTTTCTGCTAAACTGGATGCAGGAAATTCCATGAGTCAATAGCATCTATATTCCGAAATGATAATTGCAGCGAGTCAGCATCAATGCCTGGTCTGTTAACGCACATAGATATGCACTCTTCTTTTTGTGATGTGTTGGCAAGTTTCTTCTGTTATATGTGATGTTCAACTCTAAAGAGTTAAAAAATTCTATTGTTGCTTTTCTTAGCTTCTTCAAGCTGAACAAGAATTGTTTTACACCTTCACGAGCAGGTCCAGCTAAAGCCAAAGGAGAAGATGCTGAAGCTTTCAAAAGAGAACTCCAGAGTAAGCTAGCTCAGATAGTTTCTCAGATCACTAAGGAAGAAGAGGAATACCAAGTTGAACAGAATATTCATAGGCAGGCAAGTCATTGTGTTTTTGTTAGACCTGTCTGTTCTCATACCTTTCTTCTGTTGATGTTGTCTGGTTATTAGTATTAGGAGAACTGTGATCAGTGTGGTGTTTTTCAGATTGAAGAAGAGTTGAATAATTTGGAAAGAAAAGCATCACTGATAGAGGGAATCACAAAAGAAAATATGGAAATGCAGGAGTTAGCCAGATATCCTTTAATTTCTGTTGTTTGGTCTTCTGCTCTTTAAAGCTAATTATTTATTATGTTCAGCTCATTGGTAGAAGAAGAATGAGTCGACAGGGGATTTCAAAATTTCATGAACTATTCCACATTTAGACAATAGTCTCATTGTGTCTTACTGTATTACCGAGAAACTCTTTCACACTTCAAAAAAATACATATGAAATTAGCACCCTTGCTTTAGATTTGTCAACAATTATTGTGTCCTTGACTGGAAGTAAGCAGACTTCTGAATTGGAAAACAAATGTGCTTCCCTTGGTGATGAGCTACAGAAGAGGTCGGTATGTCCCAGATGTCATAAGGACAATACAGCTGCATTAAGTCAAATTCTTCAAGCAGGCGATGAGAATTAGCTTCTTGTAAGTAGTCCCTGACATTTATAACTGATGATAGTCAAAAGTAAGACCCTGAGGTGCTTACACTTCTGCTCTCATGTCTTCCACTGGTTTTATGTGTCTACAAATAGGGCTAGTTTGCATAATTGACACTCCTAGTTTTTCTACTCACTCTCCCCTATACATCCTAAAGAACAAATGTAATGGAAGCTGTAAAACCAGACATAAAGGATAGTTGTATTTCTGTTCTTTCAGCTGTCTATGGTATTTCTAAAGAAGAAAGTTATATGTACTTGCTTCTAAATCCTAATAAAATCGTCATCACCACCCATGCTCAACCTACCATTACTGGATGTTATGGGAGGCTTGAAAGTGAATCCACCAGAATGCTTTTCTGAAGGATTTGAACTGATTGAGTTGTAAAAAGATGAATTGTTTGTTCAGCTGAATAAGAAGTCATCTTTCCAATTTTCCCTTTTGCACATATGTTGTTGATCCTTCTATATCCCTCACAATCAATGATAAAAGTGGATATCTAGCGTCTCTATTACTCTTGCCTTATACCTGCCACATAAAATTAGCTCTTGTAAATTGATGTTCACAAAATCATCCATAATGAGCTAGAGATCAAAGAAACTACAGTGAACAATGAGTTGGATTCTTACATCTTTACTAGGAATTGTGGAGGGGACTGAAAGGAGGAAATGGAACCAAACTTGAATGGGCACACTTTTGATCTTCAACTAGTACAGAGAATAAAGCGGAGACAGGCCGATGGTCTGAGAACTTGCTTTCACTGCGGAAATAGGAAAGCTGTTTCACGCCCTTACCATGCCATAGGATTCTATCACACCTGTCATTAACATTCCAAGTGTCATGATAGCAAGTATGAGCCACATAGTGGCTAGCAATGACCAGTACTTGGTCAGATTCCTAAATAGTCTTTTTTCTTTTTTTTAATTTTAATCATCAGTTTTGGAAAAAGGACTAGACCTGACTCCTGATGTTTTCAATTATCTGGTGGATGGAGTGATGTGTGTGTTTTTTATGGGAGGTGGGGGTGATGAGTCATTCACTGGTGAATAACTGATGAGAGTTCTAGATAAAAATGTAAAGTGATGACTGTACCATGCTGGAGTTCTTTGCTTCTCCCCCGCTCTGCTTGGAAGTCCACCAGAATATCGATTGCAATTGGAAGAAGAATATTTGTATGTGGGTGCAAATTCTATATCTCCCTCTTGCCAACCCTGAAACACTCCACCGTCTTCTAGTTCCTTCCCCAACTGGTCAAACTCTTGCAGCGCACTCCAATTTTTCTTCTTTATTAATTCCCTCGCTAAATTGTCTTCCAAGTACAGTCTGTAGTTGAGATCTCCAAACCAAAATATCTGGCTGTTCTACAAGAAAATACATCTTGTCAGTTTAGGTGGAAAAATCTCATCATTTTGTTATTCAATGGAGTTCTAATAATTATAAGAAATCTTCTTAGCTTCTCAGTTCGATATCTTTTCTATGAATCCAATTACTGTCCAAGTCTTTATTATAATTGTCATTATTATTGTTGTAGTTTTTGATTCCAAAGGAAATTCCTATGCCAGTGTTTTTATACATCTGACTTATCCCTAATTTTGAAACAAAATATGTTGAATATATGTTAAAAAGGCGTAATTAGTTAGGTATGAGAAATATGACTTACTCGTGTCCTAAGATGGTGAGAGGATGATTTTTATGGCAGTCTTCTGACGGCCGGGGGAAAGATGTTCTCCTAAAAATTTCTGTGACTTGACGGTTCCTTTTCCCTTCATCACCTTTCTTTTCTCCTGAGGCTAAGTGAGCTGCCACAAAGCAAAAACTAGTTCCTCCTATGGACATGCTCACAGAGACTGATCCTTTGTTTCCCAAATAGCCCATAATGCCACAAGCTACTGAAGAGACCTTCACTTCCGAGACACAATATTTCTTTAGCAATGTCCTTCTCATCCAGACACTAATGAAGACACCAACCATCTTCTTGCTCGCCATCAATTTATAACTACCAACACAATCTGAGATCTTATATTCAGTTCTAGACTGACCTCTTGCTGAAACTATTTCGTAGTCACTCCTCAGTCTTGTATCTGATTCAGCGGCTTGATAATATCGATAATCATCATTGGTGATTGGATTGACCATGGGTGTTAACCAGGCACCACCATACTTGCTATTTAGAGTTTTACCGATGAGCACATTCCAGTTAGTAGCTTCTGTTGGATCTTCTGCTCCAATTACAGTTTTAGGCTTTAGAGGGACTATTTCCTGGAAGCTGCTAGTGGAAAAGTTTCTTCTTAAATGACCAAGTCCTCAATGATGAAAAAAGAAGGTTATTTGAATTTTATACATACCCAAGAACATATATATCTGCTGCTTCTTTCAGATTCAGCCACTCATCCAAATCTACAGCTAGACTTCCCACAGGAGATCTTCCTGCAACATTCCACGTACCCACAAAGATTCTACAGCAAAAAGATCGTCAAAATAAGTATTATCCTGTTAAGCTTTAGAGGTCCATAACATGATATTCCAACTGATGCTCACCTCAATTCATTGTTTAGAATGCATGGTCCTCTGTCCAGTGACCTAACAGAAAGACCATTCATGCACTCATCATCTTGTCCGTCGTCATCTGTGGAAAGCAATCAAAAAGGAACACCAAAAAAATATAAGAAAGAAATTTGATTACAGAAAAATGAAATAAACGAATAAACTGGAGGCGCGACGCAAGCCAGATTACCAAGAAACGAAATAAACCTGAAATTTCGCTTAAATGGGATGCATCAGCTCTGCTTCTTCTCTTGCTAAACCACAACCGAAACACTTTCCGTCTTGATTTTCTTTCCTTGTTACCCATGATTTGAAATAAAGTCCATTCCAAAGATTATCAGTTTCCTCAAAGAGATGACAACATATTTTCTTGTCAAGTTGGATGGCTGAAGAATATCCACATGTCTGCCTTTTTCTGGGTAAAGCTATTATTGTATTGGTCGCCTTGATAGAAAATGTTGTGGAATGGACGAATGAGACAAACCCATAATTTATGCGATAATACCAAGATTTAAAGAGAGAGAGAGAAGAAAAAGTCAAAGGTTGTTGAATTGCACAGTTGAGAAGCTTCCTTAATGGTCTTAATTTATTTTCACTGAGTTGTTAAACCAGCAATGAATTATTGGCCGCACAAGTTTCCATCAGTTTTATGATTGTGGGGTTGTTTACGAGCACAGTTCATATAAATCTTGTGTGTAACTCTTTATCCATGACTAGAAGTTATCATACCACATGGCCAGATCAATTCAGCAAACTGTCTAAGTCGTGCATTAGTTAATTACTCATTCCCAAGCACGCCACCTAAGCCATCTTTACAGCCGTACACATATACATCATTGTGTGATCGCTGACTTTTCATAGACCAAGCCTCAACATTCATCACGTCTTAATCAGCTACCAAGTAGAACTTACGTTGCTTGGACTTTTCAAATATATTGTCGTATTTGTAACGGATGTTCCAAAAATGCACTGCTTTGGAGGATCTGACACACACACACACACACACATATATATATATATCAGTATTTTTTAAGAGTTTGAATGTCGCAGTAATTGCTTTCAGGCACGAACAAAGTCTCACATTTAAAATAAATAAGCAAAAAAATGTAGGAGCACTTGGAAAGGGTAAAAAAGAAGAAGCAAACTTCTTAATTGTGTAATATTATATGGGGAAATATGAGTAGACTTTGTTGAAGCAAGTAATATCACACTAATAATTAAGAGTACGTCTTTGCTATGGCTTAGCCCAATACCCATTTTCCTCGAGTTAGACATCGCTCCAGCATTCAAGTGAATAAATGTAGACTTGCAACATATTAAGCTACCTGATTATACATATTCTTGGACAATTTATAATTTAATGTTTTTTTACTTATACTATACTAAGTTTACACCTCTTATAATAAAATGTTACTTGGTTACCAATCCTCTATTTTAGATTATCCCCAGCCCATGAAGAGAAAGCGTGACAGTAATTAGATCCTAAACAGATTGAGGTAAACAATTTATTTTCCAAGTCCGTTAGAATTATCAGCCTCAATGGAGTGTAGAAAAATTCTTCGGTTTTTTTTTTCAAAACTTAAATAGCCGCCCACCTAACCATGGTTGAAAATTTGAAGGCATTTGTTAGTGTTCCGTGCAGCAACAAGGATTTTTAGTACTTGTTTAAGTACTACTACATGGTGTGTGGAATATTAAGATGACCTTAGGCTCAGAGACGTGAACAATAAAGTGGTCCATTGAGAATTAGAAGACCTAAATTGCTTAAATAAAATGTATGATTTACATTTAAAGAGGATGAGGTCGATTCCGACACATAAATATCTGTACCTTTCCTAGGTTGTGACATTCTACCAGAATTAATTATAGCTTTGATTGGACTGACACCGGCTTTTGCGGACACCTCTCGAGTGGTTCTTCATTCACCGTCAGAATACTTCTTACCGTGTGGAATAAAATTGATGACTTAAAAGTTAGAAATTATATTAAGCTAGCGTTTCGTCCCAAATTTTTAATTATTCTTGGTAA